AGATTCTCAACAAGTTTTTGGAGAGAGAGAGAGAGAGAGAGAGAGGAGGGGAGGGTGATCTTTAGAAAGTATGACCACCAAGACACAATATCACCACCTTACCAAGGGAATATTTTGACCAAACAACAAGAACAGGAAAAACAATATAACAATTTCTATTCCGCTGTACGCCCCCATTCACCCTCCAACCCCAAACTAAATGCCCCCCACACACACACTATCTAAATCCTCTTAAGAACGATGGTGAATCTCTGCGCTGTGACCTCGAGGCTTATTTCTAATTTAAATTAATTTTTGTTTAAAAATTCAGTGTTTGTTGAGCACAGGAAACACAGGGTGGGCGGGACTAGCCAAGATGTCTTAAAATTCAATATCTCAACACACACACACACACACACACACACACACACACACACACACACACACACACACACACACACACACACACACACACACACACACACGAATCATTTACATAATTTTAGGCCAACATTTTTCTTTTCTTTATGTCTCTAAATCTTTTCTCTTATTTGGGAGAACAACTTTTCACACACACACACACACACACACATATATATATATATATATATATATATATATATATATATATATATATATATATATATATATATATATATATATATATATATATATATATATATTGTGTGAACTGTTTATCATGTACGCCATAATTCATTTACATGTCCTTGAATATCTTATGTTAGTTTACCTTCAATGAGGAACATACAAATAAGCACACACACACACACACACACACACACACACACACACACACACACACTACAGTATATATCAGAAAGAGAAGAATGGCAAAAAGGAAAACTGTGATGAATAAGAATATACAAATCATGTATGAGGGAGAGAGAGAGAAAGAAGAGACCGTGGGTTGATCTGTCTATACCAAGGACAGGTTACGGGAGAGTTTCTTACTGAGAGACAACTACAGCCAAGAAAGAGGCGTTATGAGACCAGGGAAAAAACAGATGATATATAGCCTCTTAGGTTTTACAATGAGGAACCTAAGTGGAAAGTACCTTAACCCTTTGAGTCCAGGTGGGTTAAATCATCGTCCTCAAAGGGTTATGATGAGGAAGATTTTTTGTTTCTGGGAAAAAAATTATTTGTGACTTTTATGGATAAAGTAAAAAAAAAGAGATCACCTTAAGATTAACCACCCCAACAATAACCTCACTTAATCTAACCAAACCATCCCAACTCACATCACCTTAAGATTAACCACCCTAACCTAACCTGACCTAACCTAACCATCCCAGCTTATGTCACGTTAAGATTAACCATCACAACACTAACCTAACCAAACCATCCCAACTTATTTTACCTTAAGTTAACCACCTAACACTAACTTAACCTAACCGTCCCATTTTATCATTTCACATTTGGGCGATTCAGAAGTTACGGAAGCATACAATGGCTTTATTGGCTATCATTGGTCAAATCCCCTTACCCTTGTTGCATACATGTCTTGTACTGTCTAGGTAAATTATCTGTATAAACCTCTATGGTCTATGTTGTAGTACACCTTATACTTGCACTGTCAATACACATGATGAACTGTATATTTACTTAGTCTATATATATATATTTCTGGGACGGGAGGCACAATATAACCATTCCAGCTTTCTCTTAGGCTTGGGGGCAGTATAAAGATTCCCGTTTTCTATGAGGTGCGGGAAGGGAGGAGTATAAAGATTCCCATTTTCTCTAAGGCGTGAGGCAGTATAAAGATTCCCGTTTTCTATGAGGTGCGGGAAGGGAGGAGTATAAAGATTCCCGTTTTCTCTAAGGCGTGGGGGGCCGTTTTCTCCAAGCAGCACCTGGGGCCACACTATCAATACTCCGCCAAGCATCACATTCCTCAGGTGTATCCCAATTAAGATGCTGATCCATCCCCTCCTGTTACTAGCGACGGGCGGCGAACCCCAATTAGGGCGAGGATGGCATACCTGTGATGCCTCGTCTGCCATTAAGGGAGGTAACCACAAGAGGGAGGGAGGGAGGGAGGAGGGAGGGAGGGGAGAGAGGGAAGGAGGTGGGAGGAGGGGAAAAGAGGCGGGTAGGTGGGTAGGTAAAAGGAAGGAGATAGGAAGAAAAAGACTGAGGGGAGAAGGAAAAGGGGAAGGAGGGAGGGAAAATGGGAAGTAAAGAGGGAGAGGGAGGAATGGATAGAGGCAAGGAAAGAGGGAAGGTGAGACAGAGAGAAGGAGGATGAAAAAGTCGATAGGCAAAAGGAGGGAGGGGAGGGGGGGTGAAGGAGAGAGAGCAGTGGGAGGGAAGGTACTGAAGGGAGGGTAGTAGGGAGGAAGGGTGGGAAGTTGAAAGGAGGGAGGGAGGGAAGGAAGGAAGATGGGAGGGACTGTGCCTGGCTAAGTCGTCTGGGTTACATGACTAAAGATCAATCGTCTGTGACTCATTGTTTACTTATCAGTGTAATATTAACTGGAATTAAATAGACCTCGACTTAATTAAAAAACACAATGATTAATAAAATTCTCTTAGTGGAAGTTTTATCGTGGTTTTGCTTATTTGTTTAATTATAACACATTTTTCACCTGATTATTTATTCCTTACTGGGGGAGGGGGTGACGTTCTTGCTCTGGGGTCTCTCTGTCTGTCTGTCTCTGTCTGTCTGTTTGTGTCTGTCTGTTTGTGGGTCTGTCTGTCTCTGTCTGTCTGTTTGCGAGTCCGTCTGTATGTCTGTCTATTTGTGGGTCTGTCTGTCTCTGTCTGTCTGTTGTGGGTCTGTCTGTTTGCGAGTCCGTCTGTATGTCTGCTCCATTTGTGGGTCTGTCTGTCTCTGTCTGTCTGTTTGCGAGTCCGTCTGTATGTCTGTCTATTTGTGGGTCTGTCTGTTTGTGTCTGTCTGTTTGTGGGTCTGTCTGTCTCTGTCTGGATGTCTGTCTGCGGTGAGGATTTACACCTGGGAGGGGGGGGAGGGAGGGGTGTACCGTGTGATGAGGAAAGGTCGGAGGTGTGAGGAGAGGAGCGTGTAATTGGTAAGTGAACTGCATCAGCTACAAATTAGGAGGCGGTGTAATTAATAACGTCCAAAGAAGATGGTCTGGCGGCGGTCTCATGTATGTATGTATGTGTAGGTGTAAGTTATATATTTTAGTCACATAAAAGAAGTTTCATATTGTCATAATAAGAACAAAATCATTATAATATTCTCAACTCAATACGTTTTAAACAGACATGGGACTACCCGAACATTAAGACACCCCAGCTTCTTTCACCTGATAAGTCAAACGCCCAAACAATAAACTAACTTAACCTAACACAATCTACTCTAATCTAAATTAACCTGACCCATATAGATAGCGTTAGGGTGTCTCAGCATCAGGTGAAAAAGCAGGGAGGGGCTAATCTTCAGGTGAAACGAGCAATGTATCCCCCAAAAAATAGGACACAGACAATATGTGGTGACCTTGTGCCGGCAATCTCAATATTGACCACCTCTTGCCTTGACCACTGTAATGACCTCACATGACATGGGTCCCCTGCCCTGCCCTGCCCTCCGTGACCCGATGTGCCTTCACTGTCCCTGTGTCACGTTGATCTCATCCCAGGACCCGGTGAGCTCGGTGACATTAGTCTCTCTGGTGTCAGATTAAGCAGGACGACTACAGTTATAGCCCTTGTGTTAATGTTGGGGTGAAATGACTTGAAACTATACTGTTTTGGACCCTGTGTGTGTGTGTGTGTGTGTGTGTGTGTGTGTGTGTGTGTGTGTGTGTGTGTGTGTGTGTGTGTGTGTGTGTGTGTGTGTGCGTGTGTGTGTGTGTGTGTGTGTGCGTGTGTGTATGTGTGTGAACACCAGTAGGCATGCACGTATCTTAAAATCTAAATAAATATATATATAATGAACAAATTGCAATGGAACCTTTAGTTCGGAACACAACACACAATCAAGGTTACATATGGGACGAGGTCAAGGACTCAGCAGCCAAGGTCAGGGTCACAGCAGGTCAGCACAGTGTCACCAGGAGTTAGCTCGATCAATTCTGATCAGATGAGGAGAGAGAGATAAAAAGGGGTGAAGAGAGGACAGGAAGGCAGGTAAGGAGAAGAGACAAGAACAGGATAAAAAATAGAATCCAAAATGGGTGATGGCTAATGGCTGATGTGGGAGGGAGGGATAATGAGGCAAGAATGATGATGGAGGGATAATGAGGAAGGAAAAATGATGAGGAGAGTTGATGGATGGTGGGTTGGGTCTGGGGTTGTTTGGCGTTGACGTTGGGTGAATCTTACCTCTTCACTACCCCCCCCACCAGGTGTTCCAGGACTTGCCCGAACTATGTGTGAACAGATTCCTTCAGATTCCTCTAAGATAACGAACTGCATGCTGGACAAATGGACTGATAAATTTAATCCATTATCTGTTTGTTATTTTTTATTTTTTTTTACGAAGGTGGGGAGAGGAGACAGGTGGTAAAGGAGAGAAGAGAGGAAGATGAAGGAGGGGAGGGTGTGTGAGAGGGGTGAGGAAATTAGAAGATAATAAGAGAGAGAGAGAGAGAGAGAGAGAGAGAGAGAGAGAGAGAGAGATAAAAGGGATTGGAAGAGGGGGGTTAAAAGGCCCCCATATCCAGCAAGAGCTCTCAGCTCAACTTATAATAATACTGATTAAGCCCGACATTTATGGGCCCGGCTCGATGGTGACACCCCCCACATATAAGACAGAGATTAACATGTCTAATTCACCGTATATGTCGATGAATTATTTCTTTCTATCTATATTAGAATTAATGCAGGGGAAAATAATTAAATACCGAGTACTTACAGTTATAGGGAAATAATTAAATACCGGGTACTTACAGTTACAGGGAAATAATTAAATACCGGGTACTTACAGTTATAGGAAAATAATTAAATACCGGGTACTTACAGTTATAGGAAAATAATTAAATACCGGCTACTTACAGTTATAGGGAAATAATTAAATACCGGGTACTTACAGTTATTTCATGAAAAATTTGGCGCGAAGAGAATCCGGTGATGCGTTTTGGCGGGAACAGCACCAGCAGCTAAGACGGTCTTCTGTAGGTGAAAATGGACCATGTTACTAAACAAAAACACACTTGTATTTAATAAGAAACACAGATATGATACTGATAACCTCGTTAAATACTAGTATATAAACTGTGCAATTCTGTATTTATATAATTTCTTAGTTTTTATTATGGCAGATCGTGATGGAGGGACATGTTGACTCACATATAGTTAATGATGAGGGGTCGATATATAGTCAGCAACACGTGGGAGGGACCAGGAGGTTGAGTAACGCCAGATTAAATGTTTTACTCTTTGTTAGCGTGTTAGTGAAGTCGCTGCTGCCACATCTTCATTACCGTAAACACCAACGTAATCACTGTTTATGTCCATACCATCACGTTATAAATTATTGATAAAGATATAAAGCATCACGGGAGAGCGGGTAAATTATGATGTTCAGAGCCGCCACCGACTGACACCCTCACACGACACCGACTGACACCCTCACACGACACCCACCACAATTATACTTTTATCCCCGTTTTTTCTACGTAACCGCCCGCGACTTAACGTCTCACGACCCCTAATTTCGACTATTTGAATCCGCGAGGCTAAACACAATGGCTGTCCAGCAAATTAAGTTGATAAGGACTAGTTTTGGTAAAGTTGTGCGGCGGCTGTGTTGTGTTCCAGCGTCTGGGCTCTGAGAGGGAGGGCTGGCTGCTCGCTGATGGTGTTGTCTGTTGACGGTGAGATGATAGTGTCGCTGTTTTATCTTTAAATGTATCGTAAGGCAGTTTTATGACCCTGGGCCGTCTAGTCCAATACACCCAACACTTAATATTTATTTAATTATTTATTCATTTATTAATTTTATTCATATATTTACAGTATACCCAATACCTTTTATTTATTTATTAATATTATTGTTGTTGCTATTAATAAGTACCATATCCAGTCTTAATGGTTAGGTTAGGTTAGGTCAAGTTAGGTCAGGTTAGGTTAGGTCAGGTTAGGCTGGGTTAAGCTGGGGTCTTTTACGACTGGGGTTCATTTAAGTCGTATCCAAAACCTCACTGTGGAAGGTACTTAACGTTGTCGTGCCTGTAATGTTAAGCGTTGGTCGTTATCCTTCTTAAGTCTTTCCACAGGTCAAAGGTTAAGTGTATTCACAAGGTGTCTGACCTCCATTGTCTCTGTGTTAGGTTCAATCTGCTTGACCTTCAGTGCCTCTCTGTTAAGGTCATTCTGTGTCTGACCTTAACTGCCTCTGTGTTAAGGTCATTCTCCGTCTGACCTTAACTGCCTCTGTGTTAAGGTCATTCTCCGTCTGACCTTAACTGCCTCTGTGTCTGACCTTCAACCTCTCTGTTAAGGTCAATCTAGATAAGTGAGAAAGTGATAACTTCTTACAAAGTGAAGAGAAAAAATTAAAATATATTTATCTTCATCATCATCATCTTCATCACCATCATCATCACCATCATCATCATATTCATCATCACCATCATCATCATCATCATCATCTTCATCATTATCAACATCATTATCATCTTCCCATCGTTCAGTGGACAATGTCATCAATCAAACACCACCATTAAATTCAACAGTAAAATATGAACAGTTCCCAAGTTCATCGCCAGATAAGTGAACCTCAGTTATGTTCAACGCCAGAGAAGTGAACCTCAGTTAAGTTCAACACCAGAGAAAAAGACCGTCAAATCAAGTTCCATATTACCTCGTGAACAAAGAAAAAGTTCAAGGTCGGTAAGTTAACCCAGCTACCACATGAAGGTTATGACAACAGAGGGAATTCCCAGTCACCAAGTTCAAGGTGAACATCTGGGTATAGCCTGTTCAGTATACCGCCAGGGGAGTAACAACCTTCGTCAGGGCCGCCAGATAAATGTTCATCCTGCTAAATGAGATGATGATAATGATGAGTGTGTAGTGAAAGTTCAAGGCCAGAGTGAACACGTTACCTTCAGGCTTTAAGGAGTGAGGGAATTATCATATACTCAAGATCACGGTTTGAGCTCTTTGAATACGATATTTTAACCCTTTGAATACGATGGCCTAACCCTTTGAATACAATATTTAAACCCTTTGAATACGATGGCCTAACCCTTTGAATACAATATTTAAACCCTTTGAATACGATGGCCTAACCCTTTGAATACAGTGTCTTAACCCTTTCAATACGATGGCCTAACCCTTTGAATACATGACCCTTAAATAAGATGAGATTGTACTCAAGGGATGAAGACTTCGTACTCAAAGGGTTTATTTATCTGTTTAGTTATAGTAGTTAAAGGGGAAAAGTATAGTACTGAAAGGGTTAAGTCATCGTACTGAGTGGGTAAAGTATAAGGAAAATTATATAGGGTGATTTTACAGACGGGATGAAAAAAAAAAGTTCATGATCAGAATGTGAACTCATATAAAGTTCACTACCAGAGAGAGAGAGAGAGAGAGAGAGAGAGAGAGAGAGAGAGAGAGAGAGAGAGAGAGAGAGAGAGAGAGAGAGAGAGAGAGAGAGAGAGAAACCAACTTCAATACACATAAAGTTCACGAGTGGAATGAACAACCTGAAATATCAAGATCAGGAAGAGAACACACGTTAAGTTTATTACCAGATACAGCTACACATAGAGTTCAAAACCAGAAAGTGAACATAGGAAAAGTTCAACTAGACGCAGAGTTCAAAACAAGACTGCAAACAACCTAAAACATCCACATAAAGGAACATTACACAGTCACCATATACAGTGAGCCCCATACATCAGCAATAGCCCTCCACAAACACACACACACACACACCAGGTCAAAGATCACTCGCTAAAACCAGTCCATTTTATTGGCCCAGATAATCAGGTGTTCACATCCAGTAGTGTCTTGGTGTCGGTCGTAAATTAGGTCACAAGAAGATAAGTCTCAATCCTGGATCTAGATTCTCATAGATACTTACGATAAAATATTCCCTCCTATCCCCCCCTAATTACGGCATAGTCTCTGAGGAATTTTGACGCCATTTTGAATATAATTTCTCCCGGTTCTGCACAATTTATAGCAATCTTGATGCAATTTTCGACGATAGTTCCACAAGATTTTCCTTAATCTATGCTTCCTCTGTGATGTTCTTCCCTCCCACACATCCTGAACCAGTTAGAGACGAGATTTAACTAGACATTTTCTTTTTTCGCAACCAGTAAATGCGAATGTTAAGGTGATACTTTTTTCGATGTCTCCTTAACTAGATTTGTTTTCTTAGCTCCAGTCAGGATACAAATAATAATAACAATGATAATAATAATAATAACGTGAGAATTTGGGGGAATAATGTACAGAATCTTTACCCGTGTTCTTATATCCAGGCAGGGATAAAATCAACACAGGAATCTTTGAATATCTATACCATAAATAGATGCGTTGTCTTCTTCTCACTGGATATAGTAGAGTCTGCCGTGACCAGTCTTATACTTCTGAGTGAGAAAAATAAATTGAACACAGGAATGTCTTAGAGTGTGAGTGCAAGACTAGAACTATCCAGTGAGGAGAGCGGGGGCGACAGTAAACACGGGCTAGCCTCGCGCTATCCCTCAGTATCTCCAATAACATCTCGACAAGAGTGTCCGGCTGGCACCTCACCTCAGCCAGACCTTCACCTTCCAGTAACATTAAGCAATTCTCGCTTCTATCGATTCCTATGTAATAAATAATTAAATAAACAGATGGTAAAATAAGTAAACACCTAAAAACACAGAAATCCAAACCAAAGTACTCAGTCAAACGAACAAACACGATAATAATAAAAAAGAAGAATGAGACAGTGCGCGTCAGTTCATGTAAACAAAACAAAATATAGACAACCTCCGCCAAGACGAACGGGATGAGTAATGAACACCTCCTACCAAATTATGCAACCAAAGAAATAATAACAATAAAAAAAAACCCAAGACAACCGAGCTACGTAACGATGAATAGGTAACGTGGAGTATAAACCACTGTTCACGGGTTAATATGACCATTACTGAGATAACTACGAATTTAACGAGTAATATTCTCCTAGACATCCCCAGGGGCTTGTTATTATTCATATCTAGCCGGATTTTCAATGTTTCTTTACGTAATACTGGATAATAGAGGAAGTAGTCGGTTACGTCACAATGTCGGGGAAACTATCGCCGTGGAGCTAGAACCAAATACCTCTCTTGTTTAGTTATAGATATTGAAACTTTTATCATTCTATATGATATCGTAACGTGTGGCGGATGCTTAAGGTTAGATATTCGGAATATTAATGACTCGGTGGTTATACTTAATCCAACTAACCTAATCTAACCCAGAATTTCGCGAACATGAGAATCACTGAGTACAAGATATATATACACTCGGTGTTGTCTTATAATTAATTAACCATTGCGGTATAGGAACTATTACTCACACCTGACGCAGGAGGTTCACCATTACAAAACAAGCTAGTCTTTTGTTTACATTGTTGCCGCCAGCTGTTAGTTCATCATGCATCTTGTTTGTTTACATAGATGGCGCAGATTTTTTTTTATCACGCATCTCACTAAATATTTCTATGCTTGTTTACAAAGTTGAGACCAGCTGTTCATCATGCATCTCGCTCGCCCTTTGTTTTGTTGTTTATACAGTATATCAGGTACCGCCAAATGTTGCTGTGTGGTGTTAATTGCATGTCGTGTGTAAGTGATATTTACTTAAGACCTATAAAGTTATCTTACATGCAGAAATTAAGAGTTAATAGCAGGTAATACAATACCTTGCTCCTCGGGTTTATTTGTTTAACAGACGTCAAGTAATTATTATCTCAGACACTGAAGATGTACAGTCGAGTATGAAGAAAATTGTCGGTGAACACACACACACACATACACACACACAACACACACACACATACATACACACACACACACACACACACACCTCATTACTCCCTTTCACCATATTAACCTGCCATAAGACTTTATCAACCTGCCAGTTAAAGGCGTTCTCTTGACACCCAACATGTAACTGGT